AAAAGGTGGAGGATTCACCCAAAGTCCAGACTATACCTGCCTAAGAGCCAGAGTTACACGTCCGTCCATGGGCAAGATTAAGTCAAGACTGGATTCTAGGGTCCAGGACGGGCGTGGCAACTTTGGCTGACTTAATCTGATTGGGCAGGAATACAGTCTACTACCCATGGGTGGATCCTCCATCTCCAGTGCTGGAGAATAGTTGATCAGTAGGAAGAACAAACTCAAAGCTAGGGGAAAACACTGTTTTCCAACTGCCACTCCTCAGCCTGAAGTGTTCAGAACGTATGAAAAGGAAAGTGCCATTGTGACTATTAGCTGTGAATTTATAACTATGAAGAAATCTGAAATCAATCTGATATATGATTCTTTTACAAAAGTATACCCAAAACCAAATCTGAAAGTTATTGAAAAAGGACCCCCTTTGGCAATGGTAACTGGGACCAGAATTTATGTCACTAAGTAATGCAATTCTAAAGTGCAAATCACATGATGGCATTGCTTAGCAAAGGCAATCCCAACATTCTCTTATTATTTTAATTAAAATGGTTAGCCAACTCCAAGTCACCCCCATAATTTTAGGACCAAATCCATATAGTTTCTTAACAGCAATATGGAAATGGCTCGCCACTGCATTCTTTCAGGATCCTCTTTCATTTTCCTTATACTGGCATTCCCTGAATGGGTCCCCTTCAAGTGCAAATCAGATCTGACCAACAAAGTTTCTGAGATCAGCCTTTATTTTTCTTTACTGGTTGAAGTTGGGGCAATGTAATTATTAGGGAAAGTATTGAAGGAGCAGTTTATGTTTATTTAGAGTGGCTGCTTAGTCTTTCTTGTGTAAACCAGGAGTGGGGCAGATTGTTAGAGTGCTTTTAGAAATCAATTAAAAAGTTTTGAGTTGGGAAAAAAATCTTACTCAATGTAAAACATTCTTCTCCATCTTGATAAACTGTAGATATACTGTACTACTAACCTGGTATTTAATTCTTAGACAGCATGATAGCTGCCCTGATTACTCTGGAAATTTTGGAAGA